CTGGGGCCAAATGACATGGGGGGGTTACCTGAGGTCACTTTAGTCCCCAAAAATTGATCCAAGGGGTCAAAGGAGGTCACTGGGGGGTTACTTGAGGTCATTTGGGGCTCTGCTCACTGTTCACGAGGTCCAGTGATGACACAGGGGTTCAAAGAGGGCTCCAAGGGGTTAATTAACATCACCTGGGGCCAAATGAGAGGGGGCACGTGGGGGCAGTGGGTCAGGGAGTGTCAGCCCAGTGGAGTCCAAGGTCTGAGGTGTCATGTTATTAATATTTCATCAGCAATATTAGTTTCTTAGCTTTATTAGTGTTTCTTAGCACGTCCCAGAGCTGTTGTCACAGTTCTGTGGTAGAACCAGGTACCACTGCAGCAACAGAATTTATTTATTGGGGTCTTACTGTTGTCTGCCAGAGCCTGAAAATATAATTCTCTGATAGAACTTATTGATGAATAATTAATGTAATAATTAATTATTATTGATGAATAATTAATGCATCTACAGGAGCTGCTCACAGAGGTAGTTATTGAGTTGTTGGTGTCCACTGGAATCCCCTGGGAGAGTTGATTTTACCATTATTCTTGTTTTTAACAGCTGTGATTAACAGATAATCCTGTTTATTGACTACATTGGTCTAAAATATTAACAGCCACTACAGACCATAACATTTACTATTATTAATTCAATTATTCACTATATTGATAACCCACAGCTATTTCAGCCAATATTGTATCTGTTAAAATCTAATAGTTCTCTAATAGCACTTACAATGGCTGGGCCTAAAATTACCTATCAGAATGTATTTATAGATTTATTAGTACCTAAAATAGCTGACACAAAGATCTTTTCTTGTACAATCTACCAGTCTCTAATAATATTGTTATTTTTTAAATTGTTAATTTAGGGAGAGAAATACAATAGTTTAGCAGAATGTGTAAGAGAATCCACTTGGAATTAGTGGTAGTTATTATCTATTATTCTAATTATCTATTAGAATTATTACAACTGACTTATTAGTACATTTAGTAGCTAGAAATACAATCCTGTATCATATAATTTGTTCTATTAAAAGATTCTCCTAATCACATAATACTGTTGAAATTCTCTGTTAAAAAGCTATTACTGTCAGCATCCAATAAATTAACTACCACTTTGTATTTAGTGTTCATAGCAGTTATTGCCATCAATTAAAAATCATCCATTAAAATCCATCAGAATGTATCAATAAGACATATTACAATAAGGTATATTATCAATAAGATATATTAGCAATAAGATATATTAAAAATAAGATATATTAACAATAAGATATATTAACAATAAGATATATTATCAACAAGATATATTAAAATAAGATATATTATCAATAAGATACTGGGAACTAAAGTAGTTAAGATATGAATAACAGTATCTATTAAATTCTTTAAGGGAAAAACCATTAATATTTATTAGTATCTGTGGTGGCTAATTAATACAATTATCTACTGTAATGTCTAGATTCTATCAGAAGAAATCAATTCTATCAGAATAAATCAAATCTATCAGAACAAATCAATCTAGTTATTGGTTTATCTGTGATCAGTTATTAGGATCTATATTAGCTATTAATACACCTATTAGTATATTAGCTATAAATACAACTATTATTATATATATTAGCTATTAATACAACTGTCAATAGGTTCTACAGTTGGGATCTATTGCATTTTATTGACAATATTCTCTTTTAGTATCCACCAGCACTTGTAGCATAATCACATATTACCATCTAAAGCTATGATTATCTATTAGAATAATTAGTAGATTTATTAGTGTATTACACTAATAAATGGTTCCTGGTGTATTACATTGACCAGCAGCTGCAGGGGTATAAATATGTCGTGTTAGAACCTTGATGGGATGAAGGAAGGATGGGGGAGACCCTCTGCCCTTCCCACCCCCCCGGGGGGGAACAAACTCCGAACTCAGCCTTGAATTTGTACTTTATTTTCACATATATATATATAAAAAAAAACCAAAAACAAACAAACAAA